TCCTAGACAAAGCCTCTTCTTCAAAGCGTTCTCGTCCATCAAGCAGAATGCTTAGATATTTGTACATGTTACTCTGGATCATCAGCTTTATATCCTGCAGTTCTTCTGAAGTAAACTTGTTTCCATACAAGAACTTGGCCTGCCCAATGACCACATGAAAATACTGATTAATACAAGCTACAAAAACTAGTACTGAAAGATCTATAAGAATTTAGAGTAAAATTCCATTGCAAATGTCACTCAGGAAAATATACAATGTGTCAACAAAATGAACTTCGATTCAACATCAAAACGATCTCCAACACCCCGATCTTGGCTTGAGTTTTGTTCCTGGTCTCAAGAGGGTTTGAATGATGGTGGTGGTCGACGGTGGTGGTCTCAAGAGGGTTTTCTGTAGATCCCAGTGATCCCAAGCCCAGGAAATGAGATTTCAAATGGACAGAATAGATGAAACTTTAGATAAAACACAAAAAACCATATGAACAATCTTTCATAATTATAAGTTATAACATATTCAGGAATATCTGAATTTTTGTGGATGATGCATTCAAGCTTGAATATTTTTGAAACTAGATACAGTTAGAATATTAATCTGTGAACATCAATCCGACTGACAATAAAAAATCTGATGTAGTCAATAGAAAATCAACCTGTTTATCTGAGATCTAGAAAGAAAAAAGCCATTCAACTTAGCTTTTCAGTTTGAAAAAAAACAAGTATGTTTATGTTTAGGGTGTTTGGCACTTGCATGGTACCATACATTTTCCACTTGATCTGAGTGTAATGCATGGGAGCCCCAAGCCTATGTAATAGTATCAACCCTTAGAAGATAGTTTAGCCTCACGGACCAGCTACTGACCATCATCTTGGTAAGCTATTGCCTCACCAATTAGCTAATCCCCCCCAAATTAAATCTATATGGATCCCACCAAATACTTGAATCATAGAAGTAGTGCTATTACCACAGGAATACTGTCTTTATTTTTTTTGTTCACAACTACATAAGTTAATACTTGCAACTGTTCCAGCCACACGCATGAATCATAGGAAATCTGTCTAGTATCTCACTAAATGCACATAAGTTAGCATAACTGTGAAACTCCACCCCAAAATTCAATTACCTTCACAAATTTGCAGTGTCAAGTCAGTAAACACCAAAATTTTGCTTGTTCTACTTTTCTTATTTCAAAGACAACAAAGCCACAAATTTCTTCTGAAAAGTTCCCGAGTCTAGCGATCAAACACCAAATTTTTGTGCTACTTTTCTTATCTCAAAGGCAGTTAAGCAACAAGCCAATTTAAAAAAGTTCCTGAGAAAAGTTCAAGTACATGGACCCATTTGAGAATAAGAAACATGATCACATTGCAATCTCTTTCCTTCTCAATCTCTTCCACAACAGTTAATGTGATCCCTTATATAACCAACAGTTAAAAGCAATCAATAAACTTTTGTTCCATAAATCCTAGATGGTTGTATATCTCATTGTTTACCAAATAATATACACATATAAAACAAAGATGCTCAGCTCTGAAATAGGTCAACTAAATTAACTCTCCTCTCGATTTGGACCTTGAAGGTGATGTCTTCTGTCTAGTTTGTGACACTGACAACTCTGCTCATCACATGTTCATGGTTGCAACTAGATAAAACAACATATGCACTTATCTATTCTCTAGAATGACAGGAAGTTTAACCCTCCAAATAACTTATACAGGACTAGAAACCAAGAAAGAAAAACATTCTCTTAAGAATAAAAAAATTTTCAATGCTCTCTTTTCTCTTATACGTTCAGGGCTCCCACTCTACCAATTCAAGAAAATAAATGAATCAATCAATCATAACAACCACACTTCATAGAAAATCACAGTACAAACGAAGATCTTAAATAAAAGGCTGCACCTGTTTGAAGATTGTGCTGGTCCCAGACCCTTGAAGTCCAAGGAGAAGCAGCTTCTGAACTTTTTTCTGCTCCAAATAATTTGGAACAGTGGTATAGTTGCTAGGCTCATCTCTTGGTCCATTAGGTTGACCGTGAAGCACGGGCAAAGAGAATAGGGAACAGAGAAACCGAGTTGTTGCCTGTCTAACAAAAAGCAAATAAGCATGCTTCATAAAGACAGCCATAATCAACATAGGCTCAGAAAATCCAACTGAGTTTTCCAGTGCATACCTTCTCCCAAATATTTCCTCTGATATTATTCTGACCTTCTTCCTCATAGCGTCCATCATCATAGACCCAAAAATGGGTGTCACGTGGGCATTGCACATGTGCTACCTGATAGCGTAAAGAAGTACATTACTACAGGCAAATAATTGACTGCAATAAAAGCATTTAAGACAGACAGTATTTAGGGGACCTTATCATGTTATAATAATAAAATCAGTTTTGAAATTATAGTCTAATTATAACAAACCGGTGAACAACCCATATACATAATAAGGCCAAAAGTGCACTTCAGCATCGCATGCATGTAGTGTGAAATGTAGCCCTGATTTCACAAATTTACATCAAGTTATTATGTACAGGAAACCTTTTAACTTCCATTGAACACTTACTCTCATTGCTTATTATAGTTTTGAATCACCTTTTACTTCCTATTGTTTTTAATCTCGTTGATGCACAGAAATGTAATCTCATCATGTGATGCAACTCCTATATGCATGGTAACAATTCTTACATAGAAGAGAAAATATGGCCAGATTATAAAAAGGAGTAAAGAAAGAGAATACTCATTGAAATGGAATACCAGAATCCGATTCACATAGTGCAGACTAAAGCATCACTAAAACCTAGTGGCTTACCACAAGCTACAAGTTACACCTTATGACTTTAAAAAGCAATAATAAGATATTTTTGATTGTAAATTCACGGGACATACCTTTAGGACCCTGAGTTCAAGCTTTGTAATTTCTCGGCCATTGATGTAGACCTCAGTGTTTCCATTGCTTGCATCGGAGGCAAGTTTCCCGTTAAAATTTAGGTTTGAACTTATGATTCTATCAGGTCTTTCTCCCTCCTGCCAAATCAAGAAGTTGAGTTGTTCAATGGAATTCATGGCAGTATTTTCTTTTATCAGAAATTGGACAAAAGCATTGTCAAGTTTGAACTCACCTTTCCCCAGAGACCAGATTCTTTATCATACCAATATCTACCGGGCTTCAACTTCTTCGGAGGTAAAGCACATCCAAGTAATTCAGCCATCTCTTCTGGCTTTAGAGGGAATCCATTCACAATAAGCTGCTCCGGCCGAAGCTGATTAGCAGAACATTCTTTTTCTGCTTTCATTATCTGCTTGACTTCCAATGGGCTAAGCAATCTGGACAATACCCTTGACTGTTTACCCAGTTTTAACCGCTTTGATTCATCAATCGGCTGACCAATGCATGTCACACACTTACGCCCTTCGGGCATGGAACCCATTGCCCTAAGCACACAATTGCTGCAGTACTTAGCATCACAAACCAGGCACGATTCCTTAGTTTCCCATTTTCCTTTTTGGCAACGATAACAAAATCTACTCTTTTTTTTCTTCTTCTCCTTAGAAACCGCAACATAAGCTGGAAAAGCTGGCTTCTCAGCATCAACCTCTTTCCTTTCCGACCTATCTACAGTATTAAAAGTGACAACGGGAGCTCGCTTTACTTCATTGACAACCTGTTTGGGACGGGTACTTGGAGGATTATGAACTGAACCTGGAGAAGCTGAAGGCGAGGCTGAAGAAAAATCATGGTTTTGCAAGACAGACACTACAGACTCTGAGCTTCCTGATACCCTTGGACTTTGAGTAGGGGAACTTGTGACACCAGCAATACGAGACACTGGCAGAGGAATTGGTTCAATAACTGGTGGACCGGTACTGGTAACCGATCTTTGTGATTCAGATAGCGTTTCTGCAGTTGGGATTCCATGTGAATTAACATCAAGGGGTTCGACCCTAGGTACATCATAAGGGACAGGAGGGCCCTCATACTCTATAGCTATAGAGTAATCAGGATCAACAGCATCTTCAGGGATTGAAGCACCTGGCGGAAGCATCTTTCTCACCAGTTCCCTCCAGTTTTCTCCCTCCTTTTGCTCCATCGACTTCTCTCTAGTACCGGATTCCTTTTATCGACTACACTCTAAGACTCTAACAAACTTGATATAAAGAACACCATACAAGTCTACTCTAAAACATTTCTTTTTTCGAACAAAGAGCTTCAATTTCCTTCAAACTTAATACAATAATACCATATTGCTACAAACATTAAAAGATGATCAGCCAACAGTATCAGCAAAAACCAAGTTGAAATGCCAACTTGTATGAAGTTCCGGTGATGTGGGATTCCTTTCAGAACCAGTAAAAGTCTCCGTGCGGCCGCAATCCAGCCATCATCCTTCCAAACCAACAACTAATCAAAGATTTGAACCAAATGCAATATTAAATAACACGAAAATTCAACATTTTCGAGAGTCAAAAACACAGTTCACAGTCAAAATCAAGAACCCAAAATATAGAAATTTAATAAAAACGGAAGGAGGTAGGAACCATAGACAAACAATTTATCTCCCAGGCGGTCCAAATACTTGAAAAATTCAGAGTCAAACAAACTGCATATAGAGGAAAAAGTCCACAGCATACAACAAAGACTGATTCAGATTTCAAAGAATAAAGTAAAATTGTTCACTCACCAAACAATAAAAAAAATAGGAAAAGGAATCAGAAAGTAAAAATGATAATTTCCCTTTGAGTAAAATGTTCTACCTTTTGCTTACCACAAAGTAAATATTCTACTTTGGAGGAAAAGTTTAAGAAAAAGAAGAAAAAATTACAAAAAATGCCAAGCTTTTAGAGAGAGAGAGAGAGAAATACCTGGTAAGGGAGAAAGGTCTGAGCTTTAGCTAAAGGGCAAAGCTTCTTCTGCAAATCCACCAAGCCGCACCGGGGAGAGAGAGAGAGAGGAGTTATGACTTATGAGAGAGATGCAGGTTTTGAAGAAGAAGATGGGAGAGAAAGGGACCCACAGTTGTATGCCTCCGGCATTTTCCTCTCTCTCTACCAGTAATGACGAACGAGAACACAGTTTGGCTCGTGGGGAGTGGATGGCTTTCTGATATCTCACGCGCCGTGCAGGCGAGATAGTAACTTTGTGAGAATTAGCGCCCCACCACCATGATACCATTTATTATTTTTGTTTTTCACTGATATATACTGCTACATTTACTATCTATTACATTATCATTTTTACTATTTTTTTATAGAGGTATGGCCGACCAATATATGTAGATCCTATCTCTAGTAGAGATATATTACAAATAGATGGTAAAAATAACAGTTTTGTTGCCCCACCACCATGATACCATTTATTATTTTTGTTTTTCACCGATAGATTTTTACTTGAGTACTGTCACATTTACTATCTATTATATCATTATTTGTACTATCTTTTCATAGAGTTACGGCCGGGCAACAAATAGATAGTAAGAATAACATTTTTGGGTTTGCCTTCTTTGTACCAGGAGCTAGACAAATGAGGCATTCACCGATTTTTCTCCAATTTTTCTTCAATTGTTTTAGTCAATTATTTTGTGCATTTTTATACACAAACGATATATTTATGTTGAGGGGTCATGAATAAATTAGTTGCAAACTCGTCATTTTTAAGATTCAAACCTAAAAGCTAAATTATAAGTACTACTTAATACTGCAATCTAGTAGTATTCTTCTTCACTTGTAAGTAGGATGTCTTAGGTTTAATACTCGCCGTAGGCAAAGTTAAATCACATTAGTATGGCAAGCTCATTGTAAGACTTGCCCACTCTTTATCCCCCTTAGTGTAAATATTATCATTTGTCAAAAAAAAATCGCATTTATAAGTAAAAAAGAATATTACTAGAATGTAGTATTAAGTAGCAACCCTTAACTTTTATATTAGTTGAATTCTATATTGCCATCAAATTTTGCAATCTTTCATCCATCTTGATTAGGAGAACATTTTCAATGCTCCCTGACACACTGAAATTCCCTCCTTAATCAGGTAGACAACACGTGAAAAAGGTGTGAGAAAAAAAAAATTTATCTGTGGGAACTGGATTTTTAGACCCCTAGACGGAGGCAAATGAAGTAGCGAAGAATCAAATCTCCAATCAAGGAGTGGTGGATCAACTGAGGTAAAGTCTCAAACCCCAAGATCTAAACGCTCTAATGACACAGTCAAAATGCCCTTGAACTTTTATATTAGTTAAATTCTATATTGCCATCAAATTTTGCAATCCTTCATCCATCTTGGTTAGGAGAACATTTTCAATGCTCCCTGACACACTGAAATTCCCTCTTTAATCAGGTAGACAACAGGTGAAAAAGGTGTGAGCAAACAAATAATTTTATCTGTGGGAACTTGATTTTTAGACCTCTAGACAGAGGCAAATGAAGTAGCAAAGAATCAAATCTCCAATCAAGGAGTGGTGGATCAACTTGGATAAAGTCCTAGACCTCAAGTTCTAAAAGCTTTGATGACACAGTCAAAATGACTTATTGGAGGAGAAGGACCTAGCAGTTCTTTGTCCTCCTGCTTCACCAGCCACATATTCATTCATGTGGATTTTAATAGAGAGCTGACACTTGGGAGCCTCAACAACAAATTCATCTTCATATGAAATCTAAAGGTTGGAATACTAAACTTAATTTAAATTTTGAGGTTGATCTTAAAATTGTTTTACATGAACACAAGCATGTCGATTAACTTAGATCACATGGATTAATTCAATAAGCTTAATTGGAATCCAAAGTTCCGCTAACCATTTAAATTGGATTATCTATGCATTCGTCACCTTGCCAATTTATGGACACGTGGACTAATGTAGTTCACAACCCAACATCTCATCCCTACAGCTTAAGATATTCTTTGCACTCATCACAGTCAACAACAAATTTTCCTAATCCGCTATTAGGTCACATTCGATTGACGAATATTCTTATTTTCCCTCGTTGTCGGTGACTCGACATTAGGTTGCCATGAATAACCAATTATATGTTATCACGTCAATTGATATTCGGTATACTTCAACAATTATGTCATCTGGATTCCTTAAGCTAGCGATAAGCCCAATGTCTTAATCTTCTCATTTTTCTTTGGGCTCTCTCTCCAAGCCCATCTATTGGGCCCAAAAACAGTTTTAATGAATTTAAAAGCACATCGTGTTAACAACATGATTGATGGTTGATTTGGTATTGCTGTGCTTTGAAAAAAAAAAACTGATTCTGTTGTGCTGTGAAAATAAGCTTATTTTTGCTGCTTCACGTTTTCAGTTTTTTTTTTTTTTTTTTTTACTCAAAATTGTGAAAATAAGCTATTTTAAAGTATTTACCAAACACCTTTTTTAACTCAGTTTTTTTTTTTATACCAAATTTTTATAAAAACATCTCAGTACCAAATTAGTACTGAATCAATTCTGAAAATTTACAATTTTTTTTTAAACAATAAATTTGCCATTGATATTGGGAGTTATCGGTGGCGGAGGCTCGCAGAGGACGATTGGCGTTGCAATTGATATTCAGTTATTTTCTTTTATTTATTTTAGCTTTCCATTTTTTACGTTTAATCTTCTTTTTAAAATTTGTTTGTGTTGTTTTTAGGTTGAATAAATTTGTATATTATATAATCTTTATTTATACTTATTTATACGTTTGTATCTCCTTATATTTAGGACCAATGAAACACAGGATAAATTTGAACTTGATAGCAGTTGGAAGAAGTTTTGACGTTTATATTGGGAGATCGTATTGAAGAAGTTCAAGGATTTTTGGGCAAACTTTAATGGGAGATAATTTTGAAGCAAACTTATGTTGCTGGTATTTTTTAACTTTGATTGAGGTTCTTAGATGATACGTAGGCTACTGTTTTTTAGGCTTAAAAAATGTCTAGTTTGGTATGTAATTCTATATGGGATTGACAAGCAACTTTTATGAGTCATGAGTAACTGCATTGAGGGGTGAAATGCCACATTCTACTAAGAGCCATGTATAGTAATGAAATTGAAGTTTCTAATTTAATACTATAAATTTTTAGTGTTTAGTGTTGGTTAAAGTGATCAGTCTTTTGCCATTTAGGGCTAATTTGGGGTTGATGTGTGTGTGTTTTTTTTTTAATACTGCTTCTACTATGATTTAAGAATAATCAGCTATAAAATAAAGCTGATATTGGTTAACTGAATTTAAAAATGTTGTGAGTATAAAAAACAGCGTAAAAGCGTTTTGTAAAATTTAATGTAATAGTGATATAATTGTATACACTAACAAATAGATATAGTAGTTGGAGTGGAGGTGAGGACAATAATTGTAGTAATGCTGGTGGTGGTTGCGATGGAGGTGTGACATCCCACATCGCCCAGGGGAGTGATCCTTAAATGTATATTCTCATTCCTACCTAGCGCGAGGCATTTTGGGAGCTCACTGGCTTCGGGTTCCGTAGGAACTCCGAAGTTAAGCGAGAAGGGGGCTAGAGCAATCCCATGATGGGTGACCCACTGAGAAGTTGCTCGTGAGTTCCCAAAAACAAAACCGTGAGGGAATGGTAAGCCCAAAGCGGACAATATCGTGCTACGGTGGTGGAGCGGGCCGGGGAAGTGATCCGCCCCGGGCCGGGATGTGACAATTTGGTATTAAAGCCTAACCCTGGTCGCGAGTGTGCCGACGAGGACGTCGGGTCCTTAAGGGGGGTGGATTGTGACATCCCACATCGCGCAGGGGAGTGATCCTTAAATGTATATTCTCATCCATACCTAGCGCGAGGCCTTTTGGGAGCTCACTGGCTTCGGGTTCCGTAGGAACTCCGAAGTTAAGCAAGAAGGGGGCTAGAGCAATCCCATGATGGGTGACCTACTGGGAAGTTGCTCGTGAGTTCCCAAAAATAAAACCGTGAGGGAATGGGCAATGTATATTCTCATCCCTACCTAGCGCGAGGCCTTTTGGGAGCTCACTGGCTTCGGGTTCCGTAGGAACTCCGAAGTTAAGCAAGAAGGGGGCTAGAGCAATCCCATGATGGGTGACCTACTGGGAAGTTGCTCGTGAGTTCCCAAAAACAAAACCGTGAGGGAATGGTAAGCCCAAAACGGACAATATCGTGCTACGGTGGTGGAACGGGCCCTGGAAGTGATCCGTCCCGGGCCGGAATGTGATAGGAGGTGTGGTGGTGATGCTAATAGTGGGATGTGTTGGTTGGGGTGGAGAGGTAACAATGGTAGGGCAGTGGTAGCACCGATAATGGCAATTGTGGTTGTGATGGTAGTGGTAGCGGTTGCAATTATCTTGGTAGTGACGGTGGCGGCAATGATGGCGGTAGTGGCAATTATGGTTGTGGTGGCAATGGAGGCGGTTGTGATAATAGTGGTGGTGGCGATGGTGGCAATGGTGTAACAATGGTGGTAATGGTGGTGATGGTGGTGGTGGTGGTGATGGTGGTGGTGGTGGTGGTGAAAAAAAAAAATTCAGTCTTTTAGAATTTAAAATATTTTTATTATTTTACATCGTATAAAAGCAAACACAGGATTCAGCCTTTTCATTAGTTGGATGAGTTAGGACAAAGAAAATTATACAGTAGTCCAACAAAAGTGCTCAAACCCTCTTAATTAATGGTATAGCCTATAGCTCACCACAACCATGTACTTGGCTTCGCCAGTACAATCCACGTTCCAAATTATCGGGATTTTTTATGTATCAATTACCAAACATTCAATTACGAGTTTTTTGAGAGTTTCTAAGAAAACTCTTTTAAAAGTAGAATTTTTTATGAACTATCTGTTATCTTATGTGTTTTTATACAATATTTTATAATATTGGCATTTGAATTGTAACAAAAACATAAGGAGGTGGAAAGTCCACTGATAATCCTACTTTTAAGAGAGTCTCCTTAGCATTTCTTTCCGTCATACCCTAATTGCAGGATGAGGATTTTCTTCGGATCCTCTTTGTTAGGATCTAGGAATCCTTACATGCTATACATTTATCGTATATTGTACGATCAACTTTTGTGAATTACTGTTTGTATTTAATTTTAAAATAAAAAAATTCAAAATAATTTCTGAACGTAAAATAATGAATAGATAAAATATGAATAGATAGAATACGAGGAACACAAAGAAAATCGGAATGGAATCCAAATTTCAAACCGCGTATAGGAACATGTCTTAAAGGGCCCACCAGTCCATAAAGTAGCAAATAACACCCTCGCACGTTTCAAAGTTGTCAACAACGATGAACCGACGCTACCCCACGTGCCAGGCTCCAGACACGTGCCCCCGAAACCCATCCTTGGCGCTTGCGCCGGTATAAAATTGAGAAAAAAATATCTCCATTCCTTCGCTCTTATCCAAAAATTGCTCGAATTTCTTTCTCTTTGAACACGAAGAAGAGTTCGTTACAAGTCTCTCAGATTCTCCGGCAACTCTCCGGTCCTCCTCCGCCTCCGTCGCCGTTGATCTTCACCATTTCACCTCGATCTCCTTCAGCAGCGCTTAGTCATGTCGGTCAGTGCTCTCTCTCTCTGTCCCTCTCGATTTCTTTCTCTGTTCTTGCATGTAATTATGTATGTATGTATGAATTTATTGTTTAGATTACAAATTGAATTGAGTTTTAGGTTCTTGAAGCGTTTATTTGAAAGAGTTAAGTCGTTCTTGTGTGGATTTGGGGTGGTTGCTTAGTGAATAAGTGTGCTCATTGACTAAATCAGTGATTTGGGACACCCTAATTAGATCTGTTTCGAGGTTTATATGAGGAGAAGATTATGTTCTATTGATTGTAATAGATTGGTATTTACAGGCAAAGAACTGCAAATGTATATATATCTCTCAGATGTACTGTTTGTTTGACTGTTCAGTACTTGCTTTTTCTTGCTTTTCTGTGCCTCAATGCAAAATGATCTCCTCTGTTTGGTTTGTTTGCAAAATGATCTGCTGGGTTTGGGTTGTTTTCGAGGCGGAGAGGCGAAATTTTAATTTTGGATTCGTAGGCTTGTTTTCTACATTAAACCGGCTTCTCATTAAGGAAAAGCGGTTCAGGATTCTTGATGTGCTAGTTTTGTTATAGCTATGTTTAAGTTGCAGTCTTGTAAATATAGTTCCGCCTCTGCTTGAGAAATTTGTCATAGATCTGAAGCTTATTTTAGGCTGGAGGAACCCTATACTTTCTTTTCCAAGGAGTGCCATATTTTCTGATATCTGGTTCTATCCAAATAGTTTATGTTGTATTGCTATTTTATTTTATTTTTTTTGTATCTTGCCAGTAATCATATTATCTATGGTGGCCATTCTCTTGCAGGTAACAACCATCAAGGTCAGCAATCTTTCGTTGGGTGCAAGTGAGAGAGACATAAAGGAGTTCTTTTCTTTTTCTGGTGATATTGCTTATGTTGAAATGATGAGGTTTGATGATTGATTTAGTTTAATGGACTTATAGTCTTCCATTATCGTTGTCTGAATCTCTCTTATTGAATGCTCATGTAGTGATACTGAGCGGTCCCAAATTGCATATGTTACCTTCAAGGATGTACAAGGAGCTGAGACTGCAGTTCTCCTTTCGGTAATACAATTTCTTTGACCATAATGTATCACCTCATCATTCTGTCCATTTATTTTCTTACTCTCATGATCTTGTAATAACCATTTTTACTGGGAGTTTATATAATAAAAGATAAATATAGTCCTCCAAAACTTTGTGATTTAGTGTCCTAATACTAATTCAATGTGCAACTTCACTTTATATGCCATGTATATTAGTTATGTTTTGTTGCAAAAATAGGGGCAGAAAAGGTACAAAATGCATTTGGGATTGTTGTAGCCAATTTGTAGTTGGTGCTGATGAGTAAAAAAAAAATTGTACTGGATTAGTAACATATTCATATTATAGAATCTGGATGTCGCTTGCTGGACGAGATAGGATTTTGGATGATTCTCTCAGAAATATTTTTCTCAAAGAATAAAGAACCATAGTAGGTTTGCACAGGGCTATGCACTGCTTGATTTATTTCACCCTTTTGCTTGGCTCTATAGGACTTCTAATACTGCCCAAGATTCAGTGTAGAATTTTTATGGGGAGACTAGAGTGGGTTGTGGTGTTGACTACAGACTACAGACTACAGGCCAGTTCTACAGGGGGAATATTTCCCTTTGTTGAGCTAACAGGTCAAAATAGAAGTCATTTTTTAAGCTTTAAGTAGTTGGTGCTTTAGGTTTTATTGGAGTATACGTACTCCTCATAGTTATGATGCCAAGTGCCAACAGACGACCTAGGATTGCATCTCTTTCCTTGCTTTCTGGTGTTTTTAAACATAGGATAGTAGTGCATTAGTATGTTGGAGTTCAGTAGATAATGGAAGGAAGCTTTAATGCTGAAGGTGTACTTATATTAAAGTCCGTCAAGTACATGTTTATCTCCCAGCTTGAGTTAGAGTTCATTCTTGATTTTTACTTACTAGGCATGTCCGAAGAGATTGTAATGTTGTATAATGTCTGGTGATAAAGATTTCAATTGCAGGCATGCTGGGATAGTCTTGACTCAAACTGGTCAATGACACCACGCCATAATGTAACTATAATCGAAAGTAAAATGGGAATAACAGCCACTATGGTCTACAGGCTGAGCAATAACATTAGTGTGATTTTAATTGGTGATGTAACTTGCAAAATTTGAGTATGTTACTTTTTAAAATCTTTTTTGTTATGTCAGGGAGCTACAATAGTGGATATGTCTGTCAGCATAACTCTGGCTTCAGATTATGAGTTGCCACCTGATGCTATAACACCAAATGTAAGAGTCTTGCACAGAGCTTCTGCATCAAATTTTACCCATGCAATTTCAATGACCTTTGGATTGCTCTGTTCTTTGCAGGTAACAGAGAATAAAACTCCTGGTGGGGGTGAATCTGCATTCCGCAAGGCAGAGGATGTTGTTAGTGGCATGCTTGCTAAGGGCTTTCTCTTAGGCAAAGATGCAGTCAACAAGGCAAAGGGCTTTGATGAGAAACACCAGTTGACCTCAACGGCTTCAGAAAAAGTTGCGTCTTTTGACCAAAAGATTGGTTTCAGCGAGAAAATAAGTGCTGGTACTTCTGCGGTCAGTGGCAAAGTTCGTGAAGTGGATCAGAAATTTCAGGTCTCAGAGAAAACCAAATCAGCTTTTGCAGCTGCTGAGCAGACAGTCAGTAGCGCTGGATCTGCTATAATGAAGAACCGGTATGTGTTTACCAGCGCTGCATGGGTTACAGGTGCTTTTAATAAGGTTGCAAAAGCAGCTGAAGAGGTTGGTCAGAAAACACAAGAGAAAGTTGGAATGGTTGAAGAAGAGAAACATAGAAAAATAGAGGACGACTATGCTCAAGTTCTATCGGATTCTCCTAAAGCTTCTGCAGCAACCCAGCACGATCCCTCCAAGCCTGAACCTGTTAAAGGTTTGATCCTTTGAGTTTCGAGTTCTGTAAATACAGTTGGAACTGTTGGATGCCCTTCTCATTTGATTTCTTGCTTTGTTCTAGCATGAGATTGTGACTTTGTGAGAAGTAGTGCCCCACCACCATGATACCATTTATTTTTTTTGTTTTTTTTTTTTTGCCCTTTTAGGTATTTTGCGGCCGAGATATTTTTACTGCTACACACACTATCTATTATACTATTATTTTGTATTATCTCTCTAATAGAGGTATGGTCGACTAACACACATGGTCCTATCTTTGTGAGAGGAGCTAGACAAAAGAGGCATTCGCCGATTTCTCTCTAATTTCTCTTCAATTGTTTTAGCCAATTTGTGTATTTTTTTATACAATGAAATATTTTATATTGAGGGGTGATGAATATATTAGTTTCAAACTCGTCATTTTCAAGATTTAAATTTAAAATGTCATTTATAAGTAAAGAAGACTATTACTAAAAGGTAGTACGTAGCAACCCTTGAACTTTTATATCAGTTAAATTCTCTATTGCCATCAAATTTTGCAATTTTTCATCCATCTTGGTCAGGAGAAAATTAGATTTTCAATGCTCCTTGGTAGGGTTGGAAAAAAATTCCGAAAATTCCAATCCAAACCAAAAATAATTTTCAATCTCAAACCGCACCCGACATTTTTGGGATGGTATACCAAACCAATCCTTAAATTTTGGTACGAGAATCGGTATTGTCTTCTTAATGTTTTAGTAATTCCATACCAAACCAAAAATAAATATTATATATATATTATATTCAAGCTTTTTTTTTTCGTTTGGTTTGGAACTTATTTTATTTTGGAACTATAGTTTGTAACTTATTTTTTTGCTTTTGGTTTTGTTACTCAACTTTTTTTATTTTGGTTGCATGCATGTTGAAGTTGAATGTTGAACTCAAGTATTGAAAAGAGGACATTTGAATTGTTGCAAACCACTAGTAGCAATATAATTGGTGTGATCTACAGGTAGTAACCATAGCCCTTTACTACATTTGTTCAACATTGCCATTCAACTCTTGGATTTCCATAATTTTAACTTTGCCATTTAGTTTAAAAGTAGTAACCATAGCCATTTATCGCCACAACTGCATGTACGAACCTCCCACACACGCTCACCCTGCACTGCTGCTTCTCAACCAAACGTGTCTATCTCTTCATCACGAAATCCAAAAATTGTATTGTTAGTTTTCGAACATATTAGGTTTGTAACTTATCTTTTTCCTTTTGGGTTTGTTACTAAACTTATTTTATTTTGGTTGCATGTTAATTTGACTTGGTATGAATGATTGGTATTTCAATTTGTATGAAATTCGGGAATACCGAACCATCTTGAAATACCAAAAATATTTCGAGAATCTTGGAAATTGGGAATACCGAAATTTTGGTTCGGGATTGGTCTTCAAATTCCCATCTTGAAAATTTTCGATTTGGGATTCGGGATTCCATACCAAACCACCCCTACTCCTTGGTGCACCGAAAATTCTCTCCTTAATTAGGTAGACAACATGTGAAAAAGGTGTGAACAAAATTGTAATTTTATCTGTGGGATTGTGACTTTCAGAAGCAGTGAAGAATTAGATCTCTAAAAGCTCTTGCTTCACCAACCAAGGATTCATTCATTTGGATACTAGTAGAGAGCTAACACTTGGGAGCCTCAACAACGAATTCATCTTCATATGAAATCTAATTGTTAAAATACTAAACTTAATTTAAGTGCATGCGCTTGTTCTTAAAATTGTTTTACATGAACACAATCACGTCGATTAGCCTAGATCACATGGATTAATTTAATAAGATTAAATGGAATCCAAAGTTCCCTAACCATGCATGTAAATTGGATTATATATGGTTACGTCACTTTACCAGTTTACGGAGTGTACTAAAGTAGTTAACAACCCAACATCTCATCCCTACAACCTAAGATATTCTTTGCACTCATCCTAATCAACAACGAATTTCCCTAATCTGCTATTGGGTCACATACTCGATTGACGAATAATCTCATTTTCCTTTGTTATCGATTTCTCGACATTAGGTTGTCACAAATAACCAATTACGTATTGCCACGTCAATTAATTTCGGTGTACTTCAACATTTATGTCATCTGGATTCCTTGGGCTGGCTTATGGGCCCGATGTCTTAAATCTTCTCATTTTTATTGGGCTCACTCTCCAAGCCCATCTATTGAGCCCAAAAACAACTGTATATAGTTTTAATGAATTTAAAAACAGTCTCTGTTAACACCATGATTGAATAAATTCTCAAAATCTACAAATGATATTGACAATTGTCGGTGGCGGAGGGTGGCGGAGGATGATTGGCGTTGCATGATATTCAATTATTTTATTTTATTTATTTTAGCTTTCTATTTTTTACATTTAATCTTCTTTTTTTAAATTTATGTGTTGTTTTTAGCTTGAAATCATAAATTTGTATATCATATAGTCGTTGTTTGTATCTCTTTATATTTAGGACTAATGTAACAGAAGACAAATTTGAACTTGAGAGCAGTTGGGAGAAGTTTTGACACTTATATAGTTATATATTGGAAGATCGTATTGAAGAAGTTCAAGATTTTTAGGCAAATTTTAATGGGAGAGAATTTTGAAACGGTCTCATGTTGCTGGCATTTGTCTACTTTGGATGAAGTTGTGAGAAGATACGTAGGCTACTACTTTTTAGACTTAAAAATGTCTAGTTTGGTCTGTCATTCTGTTTGAGATTGATAAGCAGCCTTCATGAGTCGTGAGTGAATGCATTGAGCGGTGAAAGATTATCTTCTACTAAGAGCTGTGTATGGTAGTAATGACATTGAAATATTTCAACCTCCCCCATACTTATGGCCAGGAGGAGGCTGAAATGTATCTGTGAGTCTTCCCAACCCCCGGAAGGGGTGGATAATCATGGCTTAGCATTAGTTGTTCCCCTTTTAAAAAAAATGCTATAAATTTTTATTTTTGGTTAAAGTAATCAGTTTTTAGCATTTAAAATATTTTTAATTATTTTGTATTGTATAAAAGCAAACTTAGGATTCACTTTTTATTAGTAGGATGAGTTCGGACAATAAAAATTTAAAATTATATAGTAGCCCAACTAATTAGTATTTTTAATGTTAAAGAGCTCAAACCCTCTTTACGCTATAGCTCACCATAGCCATGTACTTGGGCTCTGTTACTGCTATCCATGTACCAAATTATCGGCGTATTTTTGTATCAGTTTCCGAACATTTTGAGATTTTCAATTTCGAATTTTTTAGGGTCTGGTTTTGAGAAATGTTAAAACGACTTTCTTAAAAAATAAATTCTTCACCACCTCACACTGTTTATATAATACTTTATAATATTAATACGAAAATTATGACAAAAATATAATACGGTAGAAAGCCTAACCGCGTATGGGAAGTAGCAATTAACACACTCGCACGTTTCAAGGTTGTCAACAACGATGACCCGACTCTACCTCACGTGCCAGGCTCCAGACACGTGCCCCCTAAATCCATCCTTGGCGCTTGCGCCGGTATAAAATTAAAAAAAAAAAAGATCTCCATCCCTTCACTCTCAGAAGACTTTGTTACAAGTCTCTCAGTTTCTCCGGCAACTCTCCGGTCCGTCTCCGCCCCCATCGCCGTCGATCTTCACCATCTCACCTCGATCTCTTTTGCAGCGCCTAGCCATGTCGGTCAGTGCTCTCTCTCTGCCCCTCTCGATTTCTTTCTCTGTTCTTGAATGTAATTATGTATATATTTATGAATTTATTGTTTAGATTACAAATTGAATTGAGTTTTAGGTTCTTGAAGTGTTAATTTGAATGAGTTAAGTAGTTTTTGTGTGGATTTGGGGTGGTAGCTTAATGAATAAGTATGCTCATTGACTAAATCAGTGATTTGGGACACACCCTAATTAGATCTGTTTTGAGGTTTATATGAGGAGAGGATTTTGTTCTGTTGATTGAAATAGATTGGTATTTACAGGCAAAAAACTGCAAATGTATGTATTTCTCTCTCAGATTTACTGTTTGTTTGACTGTTTAATACTTGCTTTTCTATGCCTCAATGCAAAATGATCTCGTCTGTTTGGTTTGTTTGCAAAATGATCTGCTGGGTTTGGTTTGTTTTTGAGGCGGAGAAACGAAGATTGAGTGAGCCGAAATAATCCACTCTTGAGCGAAATTTTATTTTTGGATGCATAGGCTTGCTTTCTACATTTAATCGGCTTCTCATTTAGGAAAAGCGGTTCAGGATTCTTGATATGCTAGTTTTGTTAAAGTTATGTTTCAGTTGCAGTCTTGTAAATATAGTTCCTGCCACAGCTTGAGAAATTTGTCAAAGATCTGATGCTTATTTCCCGATGTGCTAGTTTTGTTATAGTTATGTTAGGCTGGAGGAGCCCTATACTTTTTTTTTTTCCCAAGGAGTGCCATATTTCCTGATATCTGGTTCTATCCAAATATTTTATGTTGTATTGCTATTTTATTTTATCTTATTTTTTATTTTTTGTATCGTGCCAGTAATCATACTATCTGTGGTGGCCATTCTGTTGCAGGTAACAACCATCAAGGTCAGCAACCTTTCGTTGGGTGCAAGTGAGAGAGACATAAAGGAGTTCTTTTCTTTTTCTGGTGATATTGCTTATGTCGAAATGATGAGGTTTGATGTTTATTTAGTTTGATGGATTTATATTATTTTGTTATCTGTGTCTGAATCTAACTTATCCAATGCTCATGTAGTGATACTGAGAGGTCCCAAATTGCATATGTTACCTTCAAGGATGTACAAGGAGCTGAGACTGCAGTTCTCCTTTCGGTAATGCAATTTCTTCGACCATAATATATCACCTCATCATTCTCTCCGTTTATTTTCTTTGTATCATGATCTTGTAATAACCATTTTTACCAGGACTTTGTACAATTAAAGATAAATACAGTCCTCCAAAACCTTTGTCATTTAGTGATCTGATACTCATCCAGTATGTGACTTCACTTTATACGCTAGGTATATTAGTTATGTTTCTTTGCAAAAATAGGGGCAGAAAAGGTACAAAATGCATTTGGGATTGATGTAGCCAATTTGTGGTTGGTGCTGATGAGTAGAAAAACTGTATTAAATTAGTAACATATTCATATTATAGAACCTGGATATCGCTTGCTGGATAGGTAGGATTATGGATTATTGCATTGCGTGCAAGAAAAATCAATGGATATAGCTGTAAGGAACAAGA